TGAAATCACCAGTGACGCACACTGTAATGATCTTCCAATCAATCTTATTTCTAACGGACACGTGTCTAAGATCACAAAAACAGACGTCCTCGGGACCTCAATCACAACTAAGGAGGGATTAGCAAGGCATAAAATTAAGGTTTTAAGGTGACAAACAAACTGGGGCAGGCACCACCCTGCACCTGACGAGGGCAGGTATTGTCGTTACAGTTTTTGTCGTATGCATTTGTCCCTCCTTCCCCTCCAATATTTATTTCTTTTCTTTGTTTTCAGGAAGCTTTATCACTTCATTTCCAAAACTTTTAATCTGTAACATCAAATACGAGATCTGATTGATTAACAAGAGATCAGCCGGATGAGTGAGGTCAGCAGCAACCAAAAGAACACCAATAATGCCGCAACTAACAGCAATGAAGCCCCTCGTGAACGGGGATTTGGGCGGCCTTCTCGGCCAATGGCGCCGCCCAAGAGAGGAGGTATAAAGAAGAAGATGTGGGAGGATTTTACTGGTAAACCCTCCTCTTCCAACCATCCAACTGGTACTACTTAGAGTTCCGCATTATATTTGCCTTGATTGCTGTACGTGTACATATGTTTCTCCTATAATTAGTTGGGGTTTGTGCGCTTCTCTTTTCTTGAAGTAACTGCCGTGATCCCCAGCTTAGCTTAATAGAGTTGCTGGGATGATAGGAGCTTCTTCCTTCTTTTCTTTTTTTGGTTTAATATGAGGAATAAAAGGGGCTCGAGCTCATTGTTATCGTGTGCTATGTATATGGGCTGAATTCTTCTAATGTGGCAGGGATATCCTTTATAATGCTGTTTATTAACCGAGCATGACTTGAATATGTATTATATTGCCAGTGGCCAGACGATCTGGTTTCTTGGCCCCAGGTTAAGTACTTAAATCCCTTGTTTTAATCTTCTCTGTATAATTTGAATTTGATCTAATTTCGCATGTTTTATTGAAGATGACCCGCTAACTCCAATTGAACAATTTCGCGACTCCGCTACCCCTCTTTTAATGTAATTTCCAGCTGCCGTGCGAATTTAATCCTCATCATATTTTCATTTGTGAAGGTCTTTTTTCTGTTGTTGAAAGAACTCTTTGATTTATGAACAATTAAGTTACTATATGTCTGTTTGATAATCATGAATGGCGTCATTTAAAAAAAAGGGCACTTGATGTTATCTTGCTGTTTTGGCATCAAGCAGTGTTTGGTATGACATGGGAGGGAGGGAGGGTAGATTCTTCCTTCTTGTTGTCCATGGACGTTGTTCAGGTACCTAGCCGCAACCACAGTAAAGAGTCAATAATTGGTGAACTTCTGCAGTAGGGCACTTTTGGAAAGAGAAACATCGGACCCCGCAGTCTACACTGCTACCAGATTGAACAGATAAAAAACCTGTCCTCAATTTCCTCCTCCCTGTAACGCGTCCCTATCACTGGAAGCTGTCATGCAGTGCTTTCCAGGGGTGAAAAAGCAACATAATAATTTGCAGCTTAAGCTTTCATGGGGCTTGCAGACTTCGGAATATGGTGCGCTTTTAACAGGCAGTTAGCGTTCACCAAGAGGATGCTTCTATGGTGAAATTGGAGTTGTAATTTGGTGGTGTCAGAGTTGAACTCCGAGGAGGCGTGAAGGAGGATTCATAGATTGCGCTAAGGGTATCATGGATTGTATTACCCAGAATCAATCCAATATAAAATCACAACATCAAAATACTACAAGTTCTAATCATGGTTATACCAGTGACTCGAAGACAATTCTTCCGAAACTCTACGAGGTCAACTCTAAAGGCTTCTAAACAGAAAATATTTTGAATGAATGTCTTGTCTAATTTGACTCAATAATCCACGCGTTCACCCAACAAAAAAAAAAAACTATGCGAACAAGCTCCCTCGGAGTAGTCATTTTGAAAATGCCACAAGATAATATAATTTTTTTTATAAAATTAAAATTTTTATGTTTTTTAAATTGTTTTGAGTTGCTGTTGAAATCATGTTTATTAAAAATTTAATTTTTTAATGTTTTTTAAATTGTTTTGATTTGTTGAAATTAAAAATAATTTTTAAAAAATAAAAATTATATTATTTTGATGTATTTCTAAACAAAAAATATATTATGCTATAATAACCCTAAACACCTTTTTAATATATAAAGCATGGGTGATTAAGCACAGGTAATGGATGGTTCATTAATCTATGGATGCTACTGGTTACTTCGTCCATGAATGTTATTGCAGGAAGTAAAGATTATATTACAAGGTGTTCTCCTTTTGTTCTACAAATTTATTCGCTTGTCATTATTGTTCTTTTTATTTTAAATGCTTTTGTTTTAGCTTGTTCTTCCAATCTTTGTTATTATTTTTATGTTTGTAATTAATTTACATCCTTTGTTCGTTATCCGTTAGTGAGTGCTTAATAATAAAAAATAGTTAAAGAACTGGCACTTGAATATGTATTTTATGATGCGTATTAAATTAATTTTTTTAATATAAAAAAGTGCTTAGATATTATTAATATGTTTTTAAGTATAAAATTTTAAAAATTTTGAAAGGATTCTCTTGATATGACTAGATCAATATTTTTTTTAAATTTTGTAAGGATTCTCTTGATATGACTAGATCAATTTAATAGTTCAAAATTAATCCAGACAATCAATGAACACTAATTTTAACCCAAAAAAATCAAGATTGACATCTTTTTTTTTTAAAATAAAATTTGATATGACAACTTATTGGATTGACTCGAGCAACTATAATTAACATGTTAAATCCATAATTTATGTTATAAAACTGTGATAAATTCATAAAAAATAAATTAAAATAAATTATAAAGTTTAATTCTCCATAAATTTAATGTTATAGAATGAAATTGATGAAAAAATATAATTAAAAAAGGATAAAAAATTTGAATCAACTTGGAATAACTCATAAAACCTATGACATGAATTATGAAATCAGAAAAAACTCAAATAAAATAAATTAAAATAAATTATGAAAATTAATTTTTATTTAACTCAATGTCAAAGAATAAAATAAAAATAATTATTAAAAAATATTGAGTTAACTAAATGATATTTAATTCAATGTTAAAGAATAAAATAAAAATAATCATTAAAAAATATTGAGTTAACTAAATGATGAAATTAAAATAAAAAAAAAGTAAGGAAAAAAACAGAAAAAGGGAAAGTATTGTTTGATAAAATAACAATAAATTTATGTTTTTTAAAATAAATCAATAATAAATTTCCGAAAAGCCTCTTTCATTTCCTAGGAAGTACATAGACTAAGTTACTGTATTCATAATTCTTTTCAAGCCTGAAAGGAGATGTTTGGTCGTAAATAATTCTAAACTTTTATTATTATAAAAAAAAATTAGAAAGAAAATTCATAGAGGGAAGCATAGCCACTCCTATTCTACAACACAGGGCCCATTGGATCTCATAATAAATAATCAAAGCGGGTCCACTGATACGGGTAAGCCCATCATTATAGGATATAAACATACACAGCTAAGAGTTCCAGATTTACAGCACTTGGAAGACCTGATTTTAGACGCATTCACCCGAGCCCAGTTGAATAAGCCCAAAAAGTTTTGTCATCTTTGTAAACCTTGCATGACTAATAGTTCCCTTTTTTTTTTTAATAAAATATTTTATAAGTAAAATATATATTCATAAAATATCTTTCAATGATAGTAATAAAAAAAATTCATGGTGATAAAATAATAATAATAATATAGAAAGCAATAATAATAATAATAAAAGGATGGTAAGACGAGGTGATAATAAAAAAGATGATAATGAAATAATTATGATGAAAAAAAAAGAATAACTAATGGTTAGATATAGATTATGGTTAAAATTATTGGAAGTTATTATAATTGGATTATTATTCATAAAATAATTTATAAATTTCACAAGTTAAAAATATTTTATAACAAATGAAATAGGTTTGAAATTTTTTGTTAAATATTTTTTTTATTAATTAGTTTTATTAATTATTTTATAAAAAAAGAAACACATGAAAATATTTTCTAAAAATATATTTTGGAAACAGACAGTTTTTTTTTTTTTGTAAAACACTTTACACAAAACAAATAGACACTAAGTTCAAATGTATAGCAGAATGCTTACCAGATTCAGAAGAATAGAAATACTTTGTCATATACAAAATTAAATTCTCCTGTAACCGGGAGAGCACCAGAATCCTGATGGAATCTGTTCTTCCGCTCCTTGTTAGTCAAAATTTACCATTGATCTAAAGGTGTTTGAAAGTATAGTAATTATTATTTTGTAAAATATTTTTATTTAGAATGATATTAAAATAATATATGTTTTATTTTTTAATATTTATTTATAACATCACAACATCAAAATATTTTAAAAATATAAAAAATAATTTTAAATAAAAAATTTAATTTTAACTGAACTTCATTTAAACTGCAATCTCAGACTGTGAATCCCAAATCACAAAGGGTAATAGAAAATTTTAGTTCCGAAGTCCCACCATTCTCTGAAACTAGAACTATGGTGTCCATGCATTCTCAGGAAAGATGAGTACAGTTAGTGTTATCATAGCCAATCATAGCTTAAACTAGTAAAGATATATTACTCGTGCCTGTTTCAATATATTTTTTTAAAAAATTTAGAATTTTATAACAAGTTAATCTTAAATTAAAATTATTAAAAAAAACATTCTCAACCACAATTTTAAAGATATATTTAGATAATATTTGATATTATAATAATGGTTATTTTTAGAAGTAATTTTTGTTTGAAAATACATTCAAATAATTTTTTTAAATTTAATTTTGATATTAATATATCAAAACAACCTTAAAAAATAAATTTAAAACAAAAATAAATTTTAATTTTATAAAACAATGTCTTAATCTAGCGGGTGAACGATGAAAGCTTTTATAAAGCAACCAGCATCATTGTCTACATATAACCGTTATCCAACGGAATCAATCCCCGGCAACCGAATTCAAAATCTTGAAAAGCAAAAATTAACAAAAGCAAAAGCCAGCCATCACCTTCCCTTCTCCTTTTCAGATTCAACTTCCTAGACTATATAAAAATGCTACACCATGTTCTTTAAGCCTGCAGTCCTAATCTCAGTTGCCTCTTCATCCATTTCAAATCTAACAAAATGGGTTGTTGCATTAGTAAATGCAGACCCAAGAAACGTTCCTTTGAAGAATGTCATGGTAACAATGTCGAAGACAAGCTCGTGATCTCTCAGGCTCCAAAAACTCCTAAGATTCCTGTTCCTGTATCAAACAAAATCTCCCCATCCCCTCCTTCACCCACCACATCTACATCTTCTTCTGGCTCTGCTTTTACTTGTTGTAACAATAGCAACACTACCACAATTAGTTCATGCTCATCACTCTCTAGTGGATCTTCGATCTTGAGCTCAAAAGATCGATCATTCTCCAACGAGTTTTTGTGGTCATGTGTCAAGGAAAATCCGCACATAATCCGCATCAATTCAATTAAGGAACGATCACAATTGCTAGCATCACCAAATGTGTATTCCAGAACATTGGGCTTACCAGCAAAACAAGTCGTGGCACCAGTGAAGCAATCGATCCCACAAAAGGTAAACACATCCACACCCCATAAAAGAGTTCGATCGAGCTCACCAACAGCACTAACACGACAAAAGAGCTTTCGTAGGGAGCCGGACAGGTGTAATCCTTCACATTCTCTACCAATCAGTAGAACTTTGAGGTCACCATCGCCTAGCAGGCGATTTAATGGAGATAGTGGCAGGGGGGTCTTGACAATTACGCCAAAGGAAAGTTGTTCTGCGTGTCCGGTTGGTGCCAGGGTAAATTCAGCTAATTCCTTTTCTTCAACGTCAAGAAAGGAAAATTTGAGGCTGCCTAGTCAATACATCAATTCGAGCCAGCTTCGTTCTTGTCTGAGGAATAGAGAGACTTGCATTCATCGTATTAGCTCTAAAATAGATGAAGATGCAGTAAAAGAAGCACTAGCTCAACAAGATAGTGACTCTATTCCCATGGAAGACATCGACAATCCTCTCATTTCCTTGGATTGTTTTATATTTCTGTGAAATTTTGTGTGCATGCCTCCTTAAATTGTTGTGCTGTTCATAAGAATCTTTCCTTTCTTTGTTTGTTTTTCTCCTCTTCAAGAGGATATTCATTATTAATTGGTTTCTTTTTGTGTTTTTTTCTTAATCAGTTTCATTTATTGGTTTCACAATGATCAACTAGATCAGAATTTCTGTATCGATTGTAAAAGAAGATATATATTAAAAAGAAAAAAGGATCTGTTTGTTGCCTTATATATTGGATGTTTCATGTTTGCTGGATTGCGGCTGGAGCTTTTATATATATATATATTAATGAAATGGTTAAAAATCATCGGAGTTCCTGGACGGTATACTTTCGTGGAATTAATCCCTATACAATGAACTCAATTTTTTTTTTTTTTTTTGCTCTTTAAATGGCCTGCACCGTTGATTAGTAGTGCTAAATTGCCAATTCATTTTTTTGAACTGTTGCCAATTGGAGAAATAGGGAGAGATAAGCCTCGCAACGTTAATTAGACATTTTTTCACAAAACAAAACTTAATATAATATTTTGATTAGTTCGTCTACAATTTCTTTTTATTTTTTTATTAATTAAAACCAATCAGAGCCCCTGAACGTGAAACGCCACCGTCTCTTCAAATTGAGTAGGTAACCTCGGATTTATGCTTCGGTTGATGTAGATCTAGTACATGAACTTGATTGGTTGTTTCGTACTGTTTTTTTTCCGGTTTCATGGTTTAAAAAAAACATCTTGTTGGTTTTTAATTTTATAATGAAGAATTTAGTTTGATTGTTTAGAAAATAGTTAAATACAAGAGGACGAAAAGTAAAAGTAAGTTGGAACTTGAAATGATAACTTTTTATTTAAAAAGAATTATTTTCTTGACATTACTACTATCTTTCAGGTTACCGAGTGACTTAAAAAAACACCCTGCTATAGATTGTTCCTCTGCAAGGATTTTTGTTTGTGAGAAATTAACAAAGGTTCGATAATTAACAATTGTTCCTTTGGGCTAAAATAACCTCCCTTCTCCCTTGAGTTTTTTTTTTTTTTTAATAATTTTGATTTTGATTTTGATTTAAAAGGGGTTTGTGTCATGCGTGAGATAATTCGTCGTTTCACACCAGGGTTCGATTAACGACAGACAGCTACTAGTACGCCACACGGCAAGTGCAAGTAAATTCCACAAGTGGGCCCCGCAGCATTGGACTTGAAGGTGGAATCTAGCTGACTTTAAAAGGTTAGCTCTCAAGTGAAGGTCGCATCCACTCTACTTGCCATGCAATTTCCTGAAATCAATTGCCTCGTCGTTTAATTTACGGCAGGCGGCTACTCATACACAAACCCCTGTCACGTAGCAAGTGCAAGTAAATTTGCTGACTAAAATCAAATGATGGATCTGGTTGAGAATTCTTTCCTACGTCGAGGTTCTAATTGAGATCAGAAAACTTGAGGACCTAACTGAAATAGACCTCCAAGTTTGGGGATTTTATAATGAGATTTCTCAAGGAGAACATGTACCGACACTTCCATATTCAAAATTAGGGGGCTTGACCTGGTCGAGTAAAAAGGCTTCGATTCTAGTAAGTTCTTGCTTGCAAGTCCTCTACCACACGCTCTTTTAGATATTCAGTCACATGTATCCCATCTGGCATTCAAGCCTTATAATTTGGTCTTCCATCGACCAATATCGTGGTACTTTGCTTTACAAAAAAGGCTTGCTGCCACAGTGAGATTTGCACCATCCGACTCCATTCTAATTAAACAGAAAAGTAGATGTCATGAGAATTCGAGGAATGGCCTTACAGTTCACAGTAACAGGAGTGTTGTTAGCAGGACTTACAGCAGCAACAGAGCTTCCTATAGCGAAGCCTGGATGCCAAGATAGATGTGGGAATGTTAGTATCCCATATCCATTTGGCACGGAAAAAGATTGCTACTACGGCCCCGAGTTCCTCATAACTTGCAACCATACTTTCAATCCTCCAAAAGCGTTTTTAGGAAAAGGTAACTTAAGTGTCGCAGAAATAACCCTTGATGGGAAGCTACGCCTCATGCAATATATAGCTAAGGACTGCTATGACCGGGCAGGTGCACGAAAAACGAGAAACAGGCCCTGGATAAACCTACCCGTCCAAGGTCCATACGTTTTTTCTGACACTGACAATATGTTGGTCGCTATCGGCTGTGATACTTTCGCTGAAATGCGAGGTATCCGAGAAGACAAGAATGATACATACATGGTAGGATGCGTTTCCAAATGTAGCGACAAAAAATATGTACCAAACACATGCTCCGGAATTGGTTGCTGCCACACCTCCATTGCCAAAGGAATTAAGTACTTCGACGTGAGCTTGTCTAGTTACAATAATCATATGGGAATCTGGGAATTCAATCCTTGCAGCTTTGCCTTCATTATTGAAGAAAAGCAGTTCAGCTTTTCTCCAAGTAACCTGTCGGATTTGGTGAAAGTAAGCTTGCTTCCTATTATAGTGGATTGGAGTATTGGGCGCAATAACTGCGAAACCTTGGAAAAGAACAAGACGTCTAATGCATGTCAAGGCCAGAGCAAATGTCATGACCCCGAAAATGGGTCTGGGTACATTTGCAAATGCTTAGATGGCTATCAAGGAAATCCATACCTCCCAAATGGTTGCCGAAGTATGCATTTCTTTTTCTTAATTTTATCCCTTTTCTTATAATTTTTTACTTTCATAAAGAGAAAGTTAAATTATTTGTAATTGATTTCGAGGAGATCTCTAATCTGATTTTTCGAAATTGGTTTACTTGAAATTATGAGAATTTAATATAGTTTTACATAAAGGCATCTCTTTATGATGCTTCTGCAGACATTAATGAATGTTCAGATCCAAAAGTAGCCCACAATTGCAGCCACAAATGTATCGACACCGAAGGGAATTATACATGTTCTTGCCCCAAGGGGTACCATGGAGATGGGAGAATAGATGGAGAACGCTGCATCCGCAATCGATCATCAGTGCTTCAGGTCGCTGTCGGTAAGTTCGTATATCATCCTCTTCATTTTCAATCCCGATGTTCATGTACATACTATTGTGCATAGCTCTTTCATGTGCCATTAAACGTAACTGTTTGTTTTTTTGGTTTCTCATTTTAATCTGGATAGGATATATACATGCGCCAATTTTTAGTTCTTGTTATTTAGATGAGGCTGTGATAGGCATTATTAAAACTATATCACAGTCCCCACTTCTAGTTCATCCTAATACTTGGTTTTCTCCATCAGAGACCTAAGTTTAATACTCATACTGGCCTCTTGTAGCAGGAATTGAGTGTAGATTTTTGTTAATTTTCTTTTCAGGATTCTTAAATTTTCGAAGTATATACTGAAATTCATGCTGTTGTTTAGAAGTATTGTGATAAATGCTTGACCGGATGTCAGAGCATTGGCTGAAATTTATTTTATCAATATAATCTGAAGTAGCTGGCGATGCAAAAGTGACTTGAAATATCCAGACACTATCCTAGATTTATTTCATCTCAAATTTGCAGCCCTTGGTATCTCAGAAAAGAAAACTGAGAGGAATCTAATTTGATCCATATAAACTCTGGAACTTCAAAGCCCACAACGTTTCAAAGTCAAATCCACTACAAATGTACTCGTTTTTAATTTTTTCTATATTGCCGCGGGATCATTTCAAACAGAATTTCTTGATGGGAAATTTTCTCTCTCCACCTTTTAAACAAGATTTCAAATATTTCTTATTAAATCGAAAGGTTTAGTCGCTTAACGGAAGCAAAAAATTGCAATAAGTTCCCCTATGATCTCAACCCCATTCGGGTATGCTTGCTCAATTTGGACGAATTTTCATATCTGCAATGTACATAATTAATTACAAATTAATGTTTCAACATCCTTGTACATGTAGGAAGTGGAGCGGGACTGACATCTTTGTTGATGGGAATTACTTGGCTGTACTGGGGATACAATAAATGGAAGCTAATGAAGCTCAAAGAGAAGTTCTTTAGGCAAAATGGTGGTCTAATGCTGGAGCAGAAGCTATCAAGAAGGGAAGGACCCGTTACAGAAACGGCAAAAATCTTTTCAGCTGCAGAACTCGAGAAAGCCACTGACAAGTACCATGAAAGTAGAATTCTTGGCCGAGGAGGTTTTGGTACAGTTTACAAGGGAACTTTAACAGATGGAAGAACTGTTGCAATCAAGAAGTCCAAAACAATCGATCAAAGCCAAATCGAGCAGTTTATCAATGAGGTGGTTGTTCTTTACCAAATCAATCACAGGAATGTGGTGAAGCTTCTAGGATGTTGCTTGGAGACAGAAGTCCCATTACTAGTTTATGAATATGTTGCAAATGGCACCCTCTATGACCACATTCACGACAAGAGTAAGGTGTCGGCCCTCACCTGGGAAATCCGTTTAAAGATTGCTTCTGAAACTGCTGGTGTTCTATCATATTTGCATTCCGCGGCTTCTGTGCCAATCATTCATAGGGATGTCAAGTCTACAAACATACTCCTGGACAACAGTTACACGGCAAAAGTGTCAGATTTTGGCACTTCTAGGTTAATTCCGTTGGATCAAGTTGAATTGTCAACAATGGTGCGAGGTACTCTAGGATACTTGGACCCTGAGTACTTGCACACAAGCCAACTGACGGACAAAAGTGATGTTTGTAATGCTTTTCTTTTCTATAATTCAGTCCAGTTCTGTTTTTGTTACAGTGGTCCTGTAATTTTAAAAGACGAAGAATTTCTGACAGTATGTCCAATATTCAACCCGCATTGAAACTCTTTATCCTGTCTCCATTTTGCAATGTAATATTCCAGGTGATCTCCTTCTGAAAGCAAAAAAATTGCTGGACAAACTTTCTGGTGTATGCCATGCTCGTTGACAAGGACTTCGATTGTATGTCTCTGGGAAGGAAATTTTTATCGTCGCCCCGACATTTGGACAGCCACAAAAAAAAAGAAATCAGTAAAGGCACAATCATTATTCAATTTTTCTTGCCGGTGAAAACTAAATAAATAAAAAAAATCTAACGTTGATCATTATAGTTCTCAACAAAGAAATTGATTCCACGTTTTTGTAATCTTATCATTTAATATGCATGCATGAAGTAAATATCTTAGTATTTAGATAATGCATATCGGAATGAATACTTTAAACCTGATGCATAACTCAATAACTAATAGATCAAGTATGAATATAGCATAAACTCAATTTCTGAATATCCATTATCATACCTCTATTG